GTACGTGTATGTCATACTTGTCAAGTCAAGAAATTACTGCATAAATTTATGAAGTATTTTTCATACAAAAAACTATAATTCTTTACATCCATGAATTGTTGTCGAATACCGTAATGAATAAAATCAAACGTATTTGTGGAGTATTAGGCTCTTGGTTTTAGTGCTTATTGTTGATTGAAAAGTTGAAATAATCATTTTTGCCTTTCATTTTCATTTCTTTTGTCTATTAAAGGCACTTGCCAAAGAAATTGTGAGATCAAGAAGAACTGTCAATCGCCTGTATGAAAATAAGGCACAAATGAATTCGATATCAATGCACCTTGGGGAGAGTGTTGGTATGATGTTTTTTACATATCTAAGTTTACATTTCTGTTCTGCCTATATGTACTTTGTCATGGTAACTGCTTAATTTGCTCACTGTGTTCTAATTTTTGGATCAACTACTTGTTTTGTCAGACTGATTCCCATTAATTTGTTTGAATTTCTGAAAACGTTGCAGCAATTGCTCGTACAGTTGGACAGTTGTCCAAGAGTGCTGAGGTTATGAAGCTTGTCAATAACCTCATGAAGGCTCCAGAAGTGGCTGTCACAATGCAAGAGTTCAGCAAAGAGATGACTAAGGTTTCTTTACTACTTAGTTTTGATCATGAGTACCAAGGAAAATATAAATAAATGATAAATGATGACCTTTCATTTGAGCAGAACAACTTCTTTTGGCTGTATATTTTTTCATTAAGAATGATATCTGAGCTTCTATCTTGTTGACCTTAACTGTAAGTTGCGTAAGCCAGAGCTATTATTCTCCACTCTAGCCTTGTTGGTTACATGCGGTTCCCATTGCTAACTTAAATATAAAAGTTCGGGATTTTCTAACAGCTTAAACTTACGGGACTAGTGATCAGCCAACTATCTCTATAACACGATGATGAATTATGCCTGATATCTGGGAAGAGATGTAATGTACTCATCAGATAGTTATTCTCTGCATTAATTTGTAGGCAGGGGTTATCGAGGAGTTTGTTGATGATGCTCTTGACAATGCATTGGATTCTGAAGATATAGAAGAGGAGATAGAAGACGAAGTTGACAAGGTCTTGACAGCAATTGCTGGTGAGACTGCTGCACAACTTCCAGAAGCAGTCAGGAAGGAGAAGGTGAAGCAGCCATTGCAGACAGCACCCCAGGCGGTAAGTTTGGCACAAATGCTTCATAAATCTTTTCTTGTTTGAACCTGAAGAGTTCAATTTCTTTTTTTCCTCCTTTTTTTTATGCTTTACAGGAAGAAGGTATAGCTGAAGGAGTTGACGATGAGGAAGAGCTAGAAGAAATAAGGGCTCGACTTGCAAAAGTTAGGTCATAAATCAAGCTTTTAGCCTTTGCCCATTCTCCTTGTTTAATAAAGAAATGGTGATCACGCTGACTAGTGCACTGCCTCTGGGTTCGATTTCAATTGCTGTTAGCAGAACCCTAATTTAACACTTAGAGAAAGCAACCCTCTTTATAATGTATTACAAACAGGAAATCCGGAAATCATCACATTGTAGCTATCATCAACACCTACAGTTGTTGTTAGTTATTCCTATGTGCAAGATCTATATTATACTAGGAGAATTGATGTGCTGAAACTCTTTTTATATTCTCTACATATTGAGCAATAATAAACCATTTTTCCGAAACCTTTTAAAGTTTGTTGTATTTATCTGTGAAGCAATTTTTTGTTAGAATTGCAGTTAGAGCGACACTAAAAGCAGATTAAATTCTTATATTTGGACAATGTTCATGGTTGTGCTCTTTGTACTCTTCGTTTCTAATGTACCTGTTCATCATAGATATAAGGTACTAGTCGTCGAGATATGTGTAACGTACATGTCAAAAAGGGGCAGAATTCTTTCATTGCAAATATGAAATGCTGGTTTTGCGCGAATCAAGTAACTTGTGGAGAATTATTTCCATTCCATCATGTATTAGTGTGAGCAATAGGGTGAGAAAGAAAGAGCCGGCAATGACATTTTGCACTTCCTGAAGAAGAAAACTATTAGTGTTAAAGGAGGCTGTGATCTACCTTAAATGATGCATGCAGGATTGGGAGTGCGGAGATGCAAGACATCTATCCATGATTCAAGTCATTCAATTATGGCTTGAAAAGGTCAGGTGAAAGAGCTGAGTGAAGTAGCTTATACGGAATATGTCATTGATGCGTACTTGTTTCTTGTTGAAAAACAGGGTCAGCATCATTTTTTACGAAATCTGTTAAACAGACTGATATTCAAAATACACAATCATCAATTGAGGAAATTTGTCAAATTGAAAGACAGTTTATTCTCTTGGCCAAAAAGCTATGACTTGTACGTTTCACGAGATGGCATGCATGGCCAATAGCTTATGGCTCTAAATCTTATTACCGATGGTTTTAATCAATAATGTCCCATATATATCTGATTGGATATCATTTCCTGTGTATATGAATAGATATGGATATGAAATAAATTATTTTCCAATAAAAAAAACTTTAAAAGAAAATCATTCTATTCATGCTAATCATATATTCATATCTGACACTCATCAGTCCAAGTAACAAAGGTTTTAACCACATTGTCAATTCCCTGCCAAAGAATTAATCAAGGATTGAAAGAAAATGAAAAGAATTATTTCTCTGCAGAAATATCAGCTTCCTTCATGTTTTTCGTGTGAACCATGTATTTATCTTCCAACAACAATGTGAGATGGTATTGCAATTAAAAGTTAACAGAAACGAAAGCATCTGTTCAAAACAAATCCCAAACCCCGACATGACACTACACGTTTTACAAACGCAACATTTATTATCAGTCAAGTATATACGTCTCATGGCCTTATTAATTTCTTAGTTTCTTAGCCGTTTCGTTCACATTCTTTTCTTCCAAATTTACAGATCACCGAAAGCCAAAAGTTGTAGATTTCAACGACGGTTTCAATATCTTGCGACTACCAAATACGTCATATATATAAACTCAAACTCCTGTCCTGCGAGTAAGAATTCTTGTCAAAGGTTGCATATACTGTGACATATAAAGCAAATGGCATTTCACTTTGCAGCCATCAATGATCAATCAATCATATTCTTTTTAGGAGTTAGGACACACATAAGATGGGTCCCAGTAACTGTCTTAAGGAAGATCCTACGTTCCTTTCATTTCATTCTTCAATTCAAACATTGAGTGAAGTACATCATTTTTGAGGGGTCCTTTTTAGTTAGGTTTTTGATGTCTTGTACGCAACATAGTTGTTCTAACCTTGTCTTAAAAGCCCAATTTCCTGTTCTTGTATGGGAATAAAAAATCATGAAAAAGGAAAGCCTGGTATGCTAGGTTTATGAAACAAGAATTTTGGACGAAGAAGAAACCATGTATCTTGCACACATACTCCATTATTCATATCAAAAAAAATTTGAACCATCTGTTTCATTTTCCAAATAAAAAAGATATGCCTAGAAGATTTTGGGTATTTTAATTTTCAGTCTTTTTATAAAAGAGAAGATAACCCAGAAATTGTCATGGTGAAAGATACATTACCTGAATGAAAAGCAGAAGTGGCGAACCTTGTAAGACAAGAAAAATCATTTAAACTAAATGATAAAATTTCTAAAAACTTTTGCCTGATGAAACCTGATGAGTAATTGTTTTAAAAGGCATTTTTTAGCTAAAATTTTAATATCTTGATGATCGAGACAAGCATTTTGATTTGGAACATTAATTTTAGTATCAAAAGCCAAATAGAACATTAATCTTTTTTTTTGTCCCAAAGCCTTTAGCTTAGTGATTAAAGATGCTTGAGAGAACGTTAAAGATCTGGTTTCGAATTAAACTTTCATTTTTCTCTTACTTGTACTAAGGTTTTGTCCTCTTGATATAATAAAAAAAAATTTTTTCTCTATTTAAAAGAGGTAAAAGATTGAATTATTGATGATTTGTTTGAACAATAAAATTTGAGGAAGTGTTGAACTTGAATTTGATTTGTTGATTAAATTCAATGAAGATAATAAATCAATCGTTAAATGTAATTATCAATTTATAGTTAGGGAATGGTTAAGTAAATCTATATAGATTCTTGTAAAAATCTATTTACATTTTAAGAGTTGAATTAAAACTTTTGAATGATTTCAAATCTTAAATTAAAACCACCCTTTTGAAGTTCATGAAGCTAAACGTAATATTAGACAAATTAAGAAAATTTCTTAGTTCATGAATGTAGTTTATTTGCTATTAAAAAAAAATTACCATGGTCAGGATGAAAGTAGAAAATTTTGAGTTTTATTTTTTGAGCCATTATATCTTTCCTTTAATCTGGATATATATATTAATTAATACGTTAAATACTAAAATGGAAAAGTGGACAAATATTTGGGTTGGTGGGGGTGTATAGAGGTTATAGGAAATTATTGAGTTACATATATGGTAACACTTGAAAATATTATAAGACGTTGGCACAAGTAGTAAAAAGTGGATTTTTATTTTATTTTGAGTTCGAATTCGTTAAAAGATTGAGTTCAAATTCGTTAAAAAGATTGAAAATATAATTTTTATGAATTCGTTAAAATATAATTTATTACTTAATACGTCATAATCTTTTACAATTCAAAAAAAATTATTAAATTACTATTTATGTAAATCATTAACGTAAATGATTGGGTGATTGAATCAATCTTTGTTTATTCATAACCATAACCTTAAATTAATATTGCAAAATTATTGGACAAAAATATTTTGTATCACTAAAACATTTCTAAAGATTTGTTCCTGCTTTATTTTCTTGACAACATTAAAAAACTAATGCTAAAAGTTAAAAACTATCCTGCTGTGTAAATCACCATTGAGATTAATTAAGATTTAAGCATGCAAAATAATGAAGTGGGAAAAGGAAAGAGAGGAAAAGAAAAGAAAAGAAAATCAATGAAAAAGTATAGGGTCAATGTTATCGGTAGGTTCACACAGCAGGCGAGGAATGAAAAAGCTGGTGACCGTTTATTATCATTTTTTTTTGTATTCGGACTTTTGTTTCCAAGTGGGGTTTGCTCAAACTCTATATAAAACAAACAAGAGCTGAATCTATCTCCCAAAGATAACACCACAAAAATGGCCTCTCAAAAACTCCTTTTGCTTTTTCTGCTCTTTTCAGCAGTCTCGACTAAAGCAGTATCCCTAAAGAAGAACCAAATTCACTTGTCTCCCACTTCTAGCCTGGCAAAGCTACAGGCAGAAAAGCTCATAAGAGGACTAAACTTGTTCCCAAAAGATGTTGCTAATACTGGTATCGATGTCCTAGCAGTTGGGAGTTCAAAGATTGTGGAAAAGCAATTCAGTTTCCCTGTGCTTGGTGCTCCTGGGCCTTCTGTTCAGGAGTTTGGTCACCATGCTGGGTACTATAAACTTCCACATGCTAATGCTGCTAGGTAATCATTGAGTTCTAATTCATATATACAATACTCTGTTCTTGAATCATATTCATGTAAGTTTTAGTTTTTCTGTTAAATTGTGGAACAAAGAAACCCTGGAATAGAAAACTGTGTTTCTGGTATGGTAAGCATTACATGTTCCTGGATTGCTTCTTAATCTAGAGTATAGATATCAACTTTATTCCATTTCTTCTTTCGTAAACTGATTATCGATTCTTTATCTCGATTCTAATGTCGCAGGATGTTTTACTTTTTCTTCGAATCACGTAACAGCCAAAATGACCCAGTAGTGATTTGGTTGACTGGAGGTCCAGGATGCAGCAGTGAATTGGCATTGTTTTATGAAAATGGTCCTTTCCATCTTGCTAAAAACTTGTCACTTTTATGGAATGACTATGGCTGGGACAAGGTTTCTGATAGATCTCCAAAATTTCTCTGATACATTTCTATGATACTCTTACCCTTTCTTCTTAATCCATTTTTTATTGTCCCTTGGCAGGCATCAAACATTCTGTTTGTTGATCAGCCGACTGGAACTGGTTTCAGTTATACTTCAGATGACAACGACATTCGTCATGATGAAAATGGTGTCAGCAACGATTTGTATGACTTCTTGCAGGTATGTATGTTTCTAACTTATGTTTCCTTCCATAACAGAAGCAGTTCAGGATTAATCATAATAAACATTTGAGCTCATAATTCAATGAACTGTCTCTATACTTCTAGGCATTTTTCAAGCAGCATCCTCAGTATGTTAATAATGACTTTTACATAACCGGAGAATCGTATGCTGGGCATTATATTCCTGCTTTTGCCGTTCGAGTTCACCAGGGAAACAAAGCAAAAGAGGGAATTCATGTAAACCTGAAGGTACTTATCCCTTGAACTTCATCCGCACCATTTGAATATGGACCTTTCACTTTGATGTTGTAGATTTAGATTGATTTTGAATGGTTGAACAGGGTTTTGCCATTGGTAATGGGCTAACAGATCCTGAAATCCAGTATCCAGCATATCCAGATTACGCTCTGAACACAAGTTTAATTACACAATCCGATTATGTCAGTATCAAGAAGATGGTTCCATCATGTGTGAAGGCAATCAAAAGCTGCGGTACTTCTCTTACCTCTAAAGATTAAAATCACTATCTTTCTTTTGCGATTTGGCATTCACGTTGAACTACTATGTCAGGTTCTGATGACGGGGATGCTTGCGTGGATTCTTATGAGATATGCAATAATGTATTCAATCAGATCATGAGCATCGCTGGCAATGTAAATGTAAGATAGCACAACATTTTATCCATGTTATATAATTGCAAAAGTGATTTCAATTGTGAAGGAACAGCTTAGAAGAAATTACAATTCTCATATCTTTGATATACAGTACTATGACATTAGAAAGCAATGCGAAGGAAGTTTGTGCTACGATTTCTCAGACGTGGAGACATTCCTGAATCTGAAATCAGTTAGGGATGCACTAGGGGTTGGAGACATCGACTTTGTGTCATGCAGCACCATAGTATATGAAGCTATGATCGTGGACTGGATGAGGAATTTTGAAGTAGGAATTCCTGCTCTTCTTGAGGATGGCATCAAGGTGCTTATATATGCTGGAGAGTACGATCTTATATGCAACTGGCTTGGTGAGACTATTTCCTTCATCCAACATCCCCTTTTTTTACTTGTTAACATAAGGAAATTTTGAAGAAAATAATAGATTGTTTACTTTTCTAAACTATATTTTTTTCCCTTGGGGTAGGAAATTCAAACTGGGTTCACGCTATGACATGGTCCGGACAGAAAGAGTTTGGTGCAGCTCCCACCATTCCATTTGTAGTTGATGGTGTAGAAGCGGGAAAACTGAAAAGCCATGGTCCTCTCACTTTCCTCAAGGTCCGAAACACCTCTCTCTCTCTCTCTCTCTCTCTCTCTCTCTCTCTCGTCTGCGCCTGCATGCCTCTTGCTCCATGTGTTGTTTTAATGTTTCTTAATTGTCCTCTTGTAATTTAGTTTTCTAATGATGATGATCTTTACTGTTTGCCACCTGAAAAACCAAAAAAAAAAAAAATGCAGGTCCATGATGCTGGTCACATGGTTCCAATGGATCAACCAAAAGCTTCATTACAGATGCTGCAGAACTGGATGCAGGGGAAGCTAGCCACGTCTGACAAAGCTGAGAATGTCGCTCCCAAATAGTGATCTACTTTTAATCACACAGTTAGTTCATCAATGTGAATTTAGGCACCAATGCATTTTAAACATTAATTCTTATTTTCTAAGCGCTTCATTGTTCTGAACAGTCCACCCCTTCGTGGCTTATACCAAAATCAAGAATATGAGATTACAGTGACTAATCAAATGGATCCAATTCTTCTCATTTCCCTTTATTTCAACCTTTCACACCATTGTGCTGGCTATTACTGACAAACATCTACTTTAAAAGGCAAGATGCAACATGGAAAAAGCAAGAAGTAGTTCAATCCAAAACATAGCCAGCAGCTACCACAAACAGATTTGTTATATGGATGATTAGTACGTTGTTTCTCAGAATCTGATAGAATAACCATAGCCAGCAGGCAGCGGCTACCCCCAAACTTTTACAATCCTATCTAAAATGGAAACAAAAAGATGCAAGCACCAGATGATCCCATTAGATTTAACCCACAAAATGTACAAAAAACCTTACAAAATGGGGCTCAACTTAGTCTAGAAAATCACTGAAGCTTTGTGCAGAACCAAGAATACTAAGCAGCTTTATCTCCATATATTACTTTATACAGTTCTTCCAAGGTCTTAATAACTGGCTGAAAACCAGATCTCAAAGGAACAACTTTCGTCATACGAAGGTGGTCTGCTTTAACCCTTTTTGGTTTCACCAAAGTGATTCTGAACATTTCTCCCACCAAAGCATTACTAGCATTTTCAGCTGTATAAACATCACACAAGCCAAAAATTAGAATAGAAATTGGCAACAAAAGAAACAATACGAGTTCCCAGGATGATAAGAATTAGAAACCAAGGCTTCAAAATTCCAAACAATAACTAATTATCAATACCAACATGAAAATGAGCTTTGCAAGTAACAGAAAACAGAGTCGTACGAGAAGAAGAACAATTCTGAACTTACTCCTTTACCCTATGTTTGGTTCTTCAAGAGCCAGAACAAAATTACCCATAAATTAGGAAGTCTTAAAGGTTTACGCTTGGTGATCACTTACAAGCAAATATATATATATATATATATATATATCTAGTGGGTTTTTTGCACAAGAAATTGATTGCCAAGAAACTATCGGAAAATGAATGGAAACCATAAAATTTCAAAATTAAGAGTTGGTAAGCAATTATGGCGTACAAGACATCCTTATTCTCAATCTCAAGCAGCTCTAAATTGCAAATTCACATCAACATAGTTAAAAGCAAGAAAGATACCAGCAAAAGGGTGTTGAAATGAAAAGTCAAAGAATTGTAGAGCAGAACATCCGAAGATGACCTGGGCAGCCTTATCGAAGCATACCACGTTAAAAACCTTTGACTCTGCTGCTATTGAGAACTGCCCAAACCCCAACAAAACAAACACTTAGTAGCAACAGACAAAAATAGAAGCTTTTAAAGAGGGCAGGCCTGAAATTTGAGATGACCCAGTTTATGAAAAGCCAAGATAAAGAAAAGGGGAGGCTTAGGGGGAAGATATTGACATACAAGAAGGCGGAATAACCGTTTGTAGGGGTAGCTGCGACCGTTGCATCTGTTACTTTTGCAGACAAAATCAGAAGAAGGGATTTCAGGGATAGCTGTTTCACAGTTAGAGCAGGCTTTGTAAGAAAAACAAGATTGATCCATTGCTAGAATAACGCAAATCACTGTTGTTGGATTATAAATGTCCATCCCTTTTCTCTCTCTTTTCGTTTCAGGGTTTTTTTTCTACTGCTTCTCACCCGAGTCTTTCAGAAACTCCCCCTCAAGAGTCAATATTTATTTGTACTATAATAAAATGGAGATAGCTGCTTCACGAACTAAGAGACACGTCATTAATAAATAGATTTAAGGACAAATTTATGCCACGTCATTATCGAAAAACAACCCACGCTCTTTTAGTCATTTTGCAATGAAAAATCTTTTCAACATAACAAAATAAAATTGTTCCTTTTAATTTTTGAGCATTTGGCCATTTAAGAGGTAGACTGACGTTAAATGTTCCAAAAGTGTGATTTGATGAACATCGAAATTGCCAAAAAAAACCTCTTACTACTAATATCAGAATCAAAGCTAATAAGTCTTCTGGTCGATCCTGCCAAATCGGGAAAGGGGTTACGTGATTGGTTTTAAGTTACGTAGCATTTATTACTGTTGCAAACGGCAAGTGACCTTGCATTTGTTACTGTTCCTGCTTGTTGAATTGACACAAGATTTATTTTATCACCACTTCAAAACTCTACATAAAAGAAGGCATGTATGACTTCTAAATGGGACAAATTGAATGAAAAAAAAAAAAGAAAGGCAATAACAAAAACAGTCATAAAAATTGTGAAACATAGGAACGCACCCTTTTAGCTAGAACTATAAGACTGACCTCGTCATTCTTCACGTGATTTAGCACAGCATAAAGGTCAAGACTCGAGGCTGTGTTGAGTATCAGCAAATGCCTTTTTTTCAGATGCGCAAAAAAAAAAAAAAAGAAATCATACATGCTATACCTATACCTATACTATCATACCTTCAGCATTTGAGGATGCCCCAAATTATGTAACAATACATTTCAGTAATAGTTTTGAACAATTGTCTGTACAACAATTGCAGCTTGAAATTACATATACTGTATTGTGGAAGTTTGGGAGTGATTGTATGGAACTTGCCGAATGACTTGACTACCATTGACAAATGTTTGTGAGGTTGTATCAGATGCATGGCTCATAATGGAAAATTGATCCATATGGATCCCCAGAAAAGAAATAAGAGGATCTGCTCGAGACTTGTCGATAACAAACTTCAAGTACTGAGATTGAACTGTTGGAAATTGCAGCAACCTTTTATATCCCACAGTTGTGCCATTAATCACTACCTTCCACCCACCTCCATTCAGGATCTCAAGATGGAACTCAATGATACGTTGTCCCAAGTGAATTGGCTCTTGAACTTGCAAAACATTAAAAGATACTGATTCTTGAAGGTCTAAATATAAGACCCAATCAGATTGATCCTCTTCAGGAGCCCAATAGGTGTAAATACCTTCTTCAAGTACATTATAGGGGCTGAATTGAGAGTTAACATTGCCTCCTCGTGTACTGCTGGCATTTAGGAGAGCATTCTTCGCCAAATTATTTGAGAATATGGACCTCCGAAGCTCCTTGAATTCTTGGAGTACTTGTATATCTTCATCTGAAATAAGACCCGAAGAATTTGGGGGCACATTTAGCAACAAAAGACAATTTCGACCAGCTGATCGGTAGTATATATCAAGAAGCTTCAATGCCGACTTTGGAACTTCTGATGCATGCCAAAACCAACCAGGCCTAATTGAGACATCACACTCAGCAGGTAACCAGTCAATACCATGAGGGTCTCCTCCTTGGGAGTATCTGTTAGATAATCAAACATAATTTAAAGACACTTAGGTCATGTTTGGTGCATAGGATGATATATAGGATAAGGTGATAATCATCCTATATTATGTTCGATTTGAATCTAAAAAAAGGGATAAGATTACAAGAAAAATTATTATCCTCTTGGTATAGAATTATTCAATCCTCTCAAAAGTGAAAAGGATTATTTTTAATCCATAGAATTAAACTGACATATCCTATTATACCTTTAAAAATTACATCAATAATTTAAATTGTATAAAGTTTAAGGATAATTTTGATTAATAAATAAATTATCCTATCCTAATCCTTGCTCACATCAAACATAAGATAGGATGACATTATTTACTCTAATCCTATTCATAATATCATCTTATCCTATCCTATCATAATCTTATGTACCAAATAAGATCTTAGGTTCTAGTATGGCTTCGAAAAGAATATAAAGAAAAAAAAATACAGCCAGTCAACGTTTCCAAGCAAACAGGACCATTAATTCAAAGCATTCAGGGAGAATTTGTTGTTAGCAATGGCTTAACCACCAGAAAGCGAATGTGAATACAGTTTTGAGCTAACTAATTTTCTTGAAATGGCCATGTAAACCTAAATTATCAACTTCAAAAAGGCAAGGCGGAATATATGCTTACTGAGGATCAGTTCCACCAATTGCTGCATTGCTTCGATTGAAAAGAGACCAACAAGTAGAACCAGCGACGCCAGCCTCATCACCAACCCACCTGGTGTCAGGACCAGCATCAGAGAAGATGACAGCTCCTGGTTGAAGCTGATGAATGAGACTAAACCAAACATCAAAGTAATACTCTATATCCTTTTCTCCCTCCCCTTTTGCACCATCTAACCATACTTCCTTGATATCTCCATACCTGCTTAAATTTGAAAGGGGAAATTTAACACTCCTCAGTTCTCAACTCAGAAAGCCTAAAATGGAACATAACTATGAACACAGGAGTCACTCAATAGCATAATTAATTTAGTGGCAGATTTTAATCAGAAAGAAACCTTGCAATTTGAAAGGAACACCAATCTCCGATTCAAGTGAAATTTTAATCTACGCAATCAGCTAATGTAGCATATATTTTGTGAAGTAGAGTTAAGTTCAAGGCAAAGAAGCTCGAAGAGAATGCATAATGCATTAGTTACAAAACCAACATATGCAAACAGTAGTTCTTATAAACAAAATCAGAGCACAATTTCCTTCAAACAGGTAGGACTAAACAAAAAAGAGAGAACGCAAAGAGAGAAAAAGCCCATAAAGATTAACTGAGTCTGAATTAAAAAATGAACAAAAGCATGTCAAACGTAAGAAACAAAATCAAGATAAGCAAACAAGAGAAAACTTAAAAGACAAAACAAAATAATCATTCACCTAGTCAGCAATTCAACCATCTGTCCCATATAGAATTCATTGTACTCTACAGTCTTCCCATAACATTTTTCATGCCTATCCCATGGAGACAAATAAAGACCCAGAGCAACCCCAGACTCCTTAGCTGCCATAGCCAACTCAGCAACAACATCGCCCTTCCCATTTCTCCAAGGACTCGCCTTCACAGAATAATCCGTGTATTCGCTTGGCCACAAGCAGAAGCCATCATGGTGCTTTGCTGTAAGGATCACCCTCGAAAACCCAGATTCCTTGGCTACATGGACCCACTGGGAAGCGTTTAGTCGAGTCGGGTTGAATATAGACGGGTTGGCTTGGCCTGTGCCCCACTCTGAATCAGTGAAGGTGTTGGGTCCAAAGTGGAGAAAGAAAGCCATGGAAGAGAGTTGCCATTGGAGCTGAGGAGAGGAAGGAAGGGGTAAAATGGGTAAAGGGGGTGGTATTTTGAGGGCAGAATGGGGAGTGACGGTGAAAAACAAGATGATTAGAATTGTTAAAGTGTGTACCGAAATGGTTTTTACAGAATTTAAGGTTGGAGTTTGCATTTTGAGGTATGAGATGTCGTTGATGCTGCTGCTGCTGCTGCTGCTGCTGCTGGTGTCTTTGTTCATGGTTAAGGACAGGAAAGGGAAGGGAGGAAGTCGGAAAGTGGGGGCTTTAGTGTTAGAACTAAACAGTTTTAAATCTGGGAGAAGGACAATTTGCTGTCTGCATTGATTCTTGTTCTGATTCTCTTCAGATCAGAGGATTCAACTTTGGGGTTTCATCCTAGTTCAAGATTTGCTTAAGTCTTTTGACTTTTGAGTTTTGACTAATGAAGTAATATGGAAGCAAATCGTCGCTCGTGGTTGTTGCTGAAAATTGCATTGGGCCACGTGTCGGGACAAGCCTGGCCTGGTTTGAGTTTATTTCTTAGATATTAGACTTTTAAGCTAAGGCTATATGGCTTGAGCTTAAACATCGCATTTCCTACTTGGCTCATGGCCATGGAGAAAAAAGGGTTGGTGTCGAAAGCGTTTTATACTGTCCCCTTCAAGCAGTTTTTACCTTGCACTGTAAAGCAGTTGTACTGCAAAATAACAGGGCAATTCGAGCTGATCAACAAACCGAAATATGCTTTGCCAGTTGGCAAAGGATTTTTCATGTCATGTCATGTATGAGTAACTTAAAAGAAAGGTTCGGATCAAAAAAAAAAAAAATCAAAGAAAGGTTCTTTCCTAATTGTAATTTACTAAACCTCGGATGCCGCTGTAGCTGGGTTGCAACACAGTTTTGGGCGGAAAAAGCCCACAATACTCGTAATCTCACATGCAGGGGATCTGCCAGAAGCTTTGGGCTATAAATTGGGCTTTACTTCTGTCCAAGCTTAGTGGACTCTTCAAACCAGAGCCCACATGTCCAAATTCGGTTATAACTCGACTACCATTGACATATGTTTGTGAGCTTGAATTAGATGCATGGCTCAGATCAGCTCGAGACTTGTCGATAACAAACTTCAAAGTGCTGTGATTGAACTGTTGGAAATTGCAGCAACCTCTCATAACGAATATTGTGCCATCCACCTTCATTCAGGATCTCAAGATGGAACTCGATGATACGCTGTCCCAGACTCCCAGTCGAATTGGCTCTTGAACTTGCAAAACGCTACACAATACTGATCCTTGAAGGTCTAAATATAAGAACCAAAATCAGATTGATCCTTTTCAGCAGCCCAGTATGTGCAAATACCTTCTTCAAGGACATTATATATAAGGGCTGAGCCGAGAATTACCATTGCCTCCTCATGTATTGCTGGGGCCACATTTAGCAGCAAAAGACAATTTCCACCAACTGATTTTAGTTTATGTCAAGAAGCTTCAATGCCGACTTCGGAGCTTCAGAATATGCATGCCAAAAACAAATTTTCTGCCAGATGAAATCACCCGTACTCCTAGGACTTAACCTCTATTTTGTAAGAAATCGAAGCCATTTTTTAGACGAATTTTCCTGCCAACCAAATCAAATGAATAGATCTTGCAAGGATGAAAGAAATGACATGCGTCAAAGTCCCATGTCCAGAAAATAAAAAATAAAATGAAACAACTTTTTTTTCTTCTCAGTAAAGGTTATAAAAGAAAGAGGGATGATTTAATAAAAGCGTGCAATATTGATTGATTGATTTGCTACTGTCTGATCTGAATCACCCTCTGAGCCATCAAAACTCGCCACGTCATTCAATCACAGTTCTCAGCCAACAAAGCGGACACGAAGGTCGAGGTTGAAACGGACACGTTTTGAGTAATAAAAAACACGAATCTTGAAAATAATTTATTTTTAAAATAAAATTTATGATTTTTAGTAAGTAAAATAAAATAAAATTGATATTACTATTTGTTTTTAGCCTTTGTAACACGGCGTACGCAACATGTTACGTCATTGCAGACAGCTAGCGAGAAGAGTGTTTTGTCTGTTGTCCACAGAATCCCAGTTCGAGGAGAGTTTTACATTTGAAGCCTTGAGAGGACTTTTGTTTGACTTTTGTTTCTTGGTTGTTCTCAAGTTTCCTTTCCTTTTCCTTTTGTTTTTCAAAAGGAAGACCCTCTTTTTATCACAATTTCCGCTGTGCTCCCCAATTCTTCTAAATGTTTCTTATTTGGACTATTGATCTTAATATTAAGGATTTCAATTCTTGGAGATGTCTTCTAAAATGTCAATAACTTTGAGTTCCATGTGAGAATTGTATATAATGTTATGATCCACATTAATTTATAAAATATTATCAATTACTTATTAGATATTATTGAATCTCACAATTTTATATTATAAAAAAATCACATAGATTAAAGTTGTTGTAAACACTTAAATACTCAATTAAATTTTTTTAATTTATAATTAATGTGAGATTCAAGGCTTTTTTACTGTAAAATCTCCTCCATTCAAACAAAGGCTCATTTTCATTGTTTATAGTGACACATTGATCATAGCTAATACATTTAAAGCCAATTTTAATATCAAATATCACATAATCACGATCCACATTATTTTACAAGTATATATTATTTGTTTTAATTCATTAAATTTCAATTTTTGTTTCGTAAAAAACATTTTTATAATTATGGAACACTTAAATATCTAATAAAACTCCAATTTACAGCCGATATGTATATATTCAAGACTTTCTCTTTGTACCATAACGTCCCAAATGTCAAGCTTTGAGAAGCAATTAAGAAATGAGGCTGCAGCAAAGGGGCCAATGTGCAAAACCAGAAAGTATAAACAAAGGCAGTTCATAATAAGATTATCATATAATTTTCAATAATAATGAGGCGGCTACAGCATGGAAAATTTTCTAGCTTAGTTTGCCAACCGTTGAGGAAGGTAAAGAAAAACACAAGTGATCCCTCTTTCCTGTCCAAGAGTCAATGCTGATGACAACACTTGTCTTTTTTTTTTTTTTTAATTCTTATTTTATCTGGTCCAATCATACATTAATTTGATTAAGTAACCATCTGTTTGTTACCTTGATAGTGAAATATTAATTAATAACAAAAACCCTTAGTTTTTCAAAAAATTTGAAAGATTCCAATGGGAAGAAGGGACAAAGCTAAAAAGATTCATTTTCTAGAAAATCTCAATTAATTAAAGTTTAATGTGTTTATTAATTATAAGTAATACCCTTTTACAAGAAAGATTTGGGGGTTTAATTTATTTTTGTTTGCAATCATATGCTTTATCTGCATGCATGGTATATGTACTTATACAAACAATCAAACATAAAACTAGGTTGTGGGTGAAGGCACTAAGTAAGGTACGTATATTGAAAAAGATTAAGGTACAAAGCAAACATTATAAAACGAGATAATTATGTTAAGGCATATATTCGAGAGCAGTGATTCAATCATTATTTATTAATCTACATGTGTATATATATATATATATATATATCCTAGATAATTCTCTAAATCATGGTATTAAAATAATATTATTTGGGAAACATATTGAGAATGGATATTTAATAATTTTTTAAAAAGAAAGTTACTAACTACTTATGGGAACTTTTCATTAAAAGAAAGTTAATTACCTTTCTGAGTTAGCTAGAGCTACAAGAATATTACACAACCATTTCGATTTCACGTTGAAATTGAGGTAGAAATTCAAGTAATAAGAATATCGCATGTATTGTTGGTAACAGACAGAGAATAAGAATTGGAACCAATTAGCCAACATATCTTAGCTTCGATATCTTTCATTTTTTTTTTCTTTTTTGCAAATTTAGTTGAAAAGAAATTAGACGTGATTGTCATGTACATGACATATATATATATATATATTTCAATGCATCCATATTAATTTCCAAGATCGATCTTTATATCCCTTTTATTCTTCTTTCATTCATAAGGCTAATCTCTTCATCCAAATGAAAGTTATTAATCCTATAATTAATTAATTTATATGTCGCTGGAGTGTTATCCATAGAAAATTGCATTAAAACATACGTTCTCAGTGACACAATCAAGCTTATTAAGAAATCTTAGTATATGGCCAATGAGCATTCGATTTACTGGTAAGAAGGAAATCTTAGAACTTTAAGATCCTAGCTTTAAGTATCACAATATGTAGGTTTGGTTGTTTAATAATGTTTTAATTTATTAATTGATTATTAAGTGATTGTAACTTAATTATTATCTAATAATTGATTATTCAGTAATTATCTAATTATATTATAATTTATTAGTTAATTATTCAGTAATTATAATTTGATTATGAAATAATAATTAATTATTAAAAAAATCCTAGTATATGTATATATTAATGATGCAATAAATTACTCTATATAAGAAAATTTAATTGTTTGTTCAAAACTTTGAAGTAATTAATTATTAATTTATTAATTGATATAGTTTATAATATAATTAAAATATTATTTTTTTCATGTAATAGGTATTATTCTCACTAAATGAAAAAAATTAATAATGTAAATATCAATTTCTCTAGCTAATGCGGCTAATATTTCCATTTTATAGACTCGTGATCAAAGTCTTTAAATATCTTTACCCTTCTTTTCAATAGATATAAATATATAAATATATATATATCTTTACACTTAAATTATTTCTGATTTTGTGCAATCAGACCCTTTTAGGACTCATAATTAATTTTTACTATTCGTCTTCACGTGGTATTGAGCAGTAACCAAATACGCGAGTGGAATAATCCTTGAAGCATGTGGTTCTATCTGTTACACGTATGCCTGTATAAATGGTAAGGTACTTGTAGAAAATGTTCACCATAAACGAGTAAACATTTCTCCTTTTGGAATACCCTCGGTAAGTCTAATATTACAAGACGACCAAGGAGAAAAAATGGTTGAATTTTATTATGACCTAGAATATCCAGTACGTAGTAGGATGGATACTCATTCCCTTGTGTCACTTAGCAAGATTTCTATTTAGGAAATGTAAAAATGTAGCAGAAACAATCTGTAAGTGTTGTTTGCCTACTTTTATTTACTTTCTATACTGTGGCAATAGCCTATGATGCGTCAACAGTTTCAAAAGGTAGCACTGATGAGTCAGTCGGAAGCACCGGATCAGATGAAATTGAGGACAAAGTATCTGATACATGGGGGCCATTATCATCACATTTACTATATGTGATTTGTGTACAAACATATATGAACCTCATCTCGTCAAGTAATGGTATCTGATTCATCTGAATCTCCAACAAACAGGTTCCACTTTGTCCTTTCATGGGTGCATAAACTAGATTTGCAACAATATGTAAATTGTTCATGAACTGAACCAGGGGGTAATTGGATTTTGTAAATGACAATAACCCCACAGTTCTGTTCTTTATCTGGCCTGATTTGAAGGAATACTCATGATTTATGAAATTGAGCATATGTAGTCAAAGTTTACTGCTATAGTCTACTGCTAATCATTAATATTGTTAATGGAAGATTGCATAATTCAATAATGAAAATGTCTTCATTGTTTATTTTTGGGTAACCAAACGTTTACTATTAAACTAAGTTGAGGCCAGAAAGTTATAGCAGTAGTAATAAATATTTACCTACTTGGAGAATAGTCTGCGGTTTGGAAAATGTCTCAATTCTAGAGTTCTGTAGTTATCATTTCATGGGATTGCCTTTTTATTTTTCCACCATGGACTTTGGATACCTATGGAAAAAGATTTACTTGTTGGGAACCAAAAATTTTGAGATGGAAAGCTTTATTAGCTTAGTTGATTAAGCATATAAATTGAAGTTGGAAACTGATACAAGGTTCCTATCATTTTGACTTTGATGTACCTTTGAATAAATTAAAATTTAATTACTAAGTTTGTTTTTTCCACAGCCAAGTCTTCGTTATTAAAAGGCAGCAGGCACACCGATCCACATCCCCTACCAAAGTTTTAAAAGGAAGGAAGGGAGACCTTTGGCTTCTTAAAGAGGTCAGCAGATATCCAAAGGATCACAAGACTTCTGTTGAGAGATAATTAGGAAGAAAGACTGAAAGAGAGAGAGATGGGGAGGGCTCCTTGTTGTGACAAGGCAAATGTGAAGAAAGGGCCATGGTCTCCTGAAGAAGACTCAAAGCTGAAGGAGTACATGGAGAAATATGGTACTGGTGGGAATTGGATTGCTCTCCCACAGAAAGCTGGTAAAGATATAATCAAAAACAAAGATGCCTCTTATCTCTCCTTCTCTGTCTAGTAGTTTCGTAGCTAATTTTTTTTTTTTGTTGGTTGTCTTTGAATATTAGGTCTGAATAGATGTGGGAAGAGCTGCAGATTGAGATGGCTAAACTATCTCAGGCCCAACATTAAACATGGTGAATTCACTGATGAAGAAGATAGGATAATCTGTAGCCTGTTTGCTAGCATTGGAAGCAGGTAGGTACTCCTAAATTTTTCAATATTTTTTGTAAAAGCTTCTTCTCCCTTCCCTATTGGCTCATGATTTCAAGGCAAAATTAAAAAGGAAAAAAATTTTCCAAATTTATATGGGTATCGTTCATTTCCTTCTTACCAAAATTATCATCTGCCTTTATGACGGAATATTAATGAAATCTACCTAAAAGGGTAACAGAGAAAAGATATAAATAGTTTTTCATTTAAAAAAAAAAAAAGAAAACCTTAAATTTCATGAACTTGTTTACCTCAAGAATCTGCTTTTTCGGATAATTCTACTGCATCCATGCCAAACTTTAGATTCAACATCATCACCTACTTACAACTGTTAAGAAAGAGCACGAATTTTACTTTTTATGGAACGTTTTCTTTTCTATCATGCAATTTTGCAGATGGGCAATAATAGCTGCTCAGTTACCAGGCAGGACTGACAATGATATCAAGAACTACTGGAACACCAAGCTTAAGAAGAAGCTCATGGCTATGAATTCTCAATCCCAGAGAAAACCACCACCATTCCCATCTTCTCATCACAGTACTCCACATGTTTCATTTCAATCTGTATCGTCACTGTTCAAAGACTCCACTTCTTATTACACTCCAACCAGATGTTTCGCAGCCTTTGAACCCATGAAATCAGTTCAATCTGACCTTTTCAACAATGAAAACGCTACTTTGGCTACCAATTCGTCTCTTATTCATACCCCAGAGAGTTTGCTGAGTCACGTGCAGTACCATCCAGTTAAGGAAAATTTTCTCATGTTTGGGAGTGAACCAAGCTGCAGTTCATCTGATGGTAGCATTAGTCATAGCAGAGAGATCAAGCAAGAAGACATGAGTAATTTTCAGAGTTTTGGTGTCTCTAATGGCTATGAAGATAATCAGAAGTTCATGTTAAGTTATGGCACCAACAATGGAGGTGAAAATGTTAACCAATGGACTGAGAAACAAAGTGGGTACTATGGAGAATGCCCATTAGACTATGATCTTGAAGATGTTAAGCGACTGATCAGCTCTAGCAGTAATAATTGTTGTGACAACTTCATTGATGAAAAGAAGACACAAGAGAAAGTCATGCACTACTACTACTACTGACTGGACTGACCGCAAGTGTAAAATCAGAAAGATTTGATGGGGAAAGGGTTAAGGGGTAAGAGACAAGAGACAAGAGGTAAGGGGCAAAGGTGAGGGGGTGGGGGAAGGATTTTGGATGGATGGATTGATGGAGTAGAGATTCAGACTAAAGACTTTCAGTTTCTGGGGTTTTGTGCTCTGATGAAATGAAACATTTTCTTCTTTTGACAGTACATGGTAAAGCTTTTTATTTTGTGCAATTTTCTTTTTGGAAAGGTTAACTGATGATAATTTGTTGTTGTACGGACCCTCGCTCACTGCAACCCCCAATCAGAAATCAATGTTTTATGAAAACTAGACAAGTAATCATCAATCAGGAACAAAGAATCCCTATTGTCAAGGGAAGCCAAGCATGCACTGTTCTATACTTCCTCTTTTTAATTAATTTCCCACTGAATTATCAATACATTGGCCAGTGATTAATGGGCTACCGATACAACTTGAAAAGGCAATTATAGCCCTAAAAAATATTTGTTATCCCTCCACTGAAGGGCGGTAAGGTCTTTTTAGGTTCTATGCTTGGACTGTTTGTCAAAAATATTTAGGTCCAGAATCTTATTTTAATGAACTAAGTCAGATTTAAACGTGGAAACTTGTTTACCAATGTATTTTAAAACAAAAGGATGATGGTGGAGATTTGGGAATTTTATGGAGAGGAAAAGCTTTAACAATGACTCACAGTTAAACATAAACCCAGTTTTTCTAACACACTCCTCTTTAATTACATTTTTGTATACCTATTTTAAAGAATTGGAAAAGGTCATCAACTCTATGCATATGTGATCATTGTGATAACAATAAAAATTCAAATAATGTTTGTTTGGAAGTTGGTTAGATCAATCATCATTTGAAAACTAAACCTGAAGACCTTTTGGTTGGTAGAATTCTGGATTCAAAACCGGAGATTAGTCTGACTATTGCTCATCTCCAATTTAATTAGGATACATATGACAAATTAAAATAGTATGATAGTAAAAGCCATTTTACTGTATTTTGGAGTAACCTTAATTGCTTTGATTTTTTTCATTAGTAGTGCTATTAAGGAGTCTAATTAAAAGTAAATGAACCATATTAATGCCACCAAACCCTTGTTTTAAAGACTAACATACCGTAAAATGATTTTCAGCTGCTTGATCTAGTGGTCAAAACAACCTTAAAGAACACATCAAGGCTGGGATTCGGACCCCAACCTTTCTCCCTCCCCTTTAATGTGGGGCTCTGCCCCCCCCCCCCTTGAATGACAAAAAAAACATACCATAAAATGAAACCGATTTCGAGTACTTTAATTATATATCAACTTTTTCTTTATGAATGTAATATTACCAAATGACATAAGTTAGCATGTGTGTAATATCATTCTTGTTTTCAATATTTTGTAGATACAATGACAGAAGTTAGCATGTGTGTTTTGGTAAATTTGGTCATTTTATCTCTTTTTGGGTATAATAAGACTATATGAGCTTCATTTAATGAAGCAACACCAAAAATGGTAGAGATTGAGAACGGTAGATATAGGAAAATACATTAATTATTTGCATGGATGCTGTCACTGCCTAAGAGTCTTATATATATGTGTCTCTTTTCTAATAATTATAGTTTTTTTTCCCTATTATTTGCTGGTAGTTGACACTTCAGTTGTCTCAGCAAGATAAATTTAATCCAAAACCATAAATTATTCAACATTTTCCTCTCCTTCTTGGGTACATAGAATAAAGATTTTCCTGTTGAAACTATACTCCAGCTAGTTCAATAAAAAACTTCATATGTGAGCTTAAATGTCTTATACTCACTGTCATTCTTAACATTAATCTTTACGTATTTAGAGATGAATTTGGGATGGAAAATTGAAATGTATGAAATGAAGAAAGATTGAACATTATATATTTGACATTGTAATTGATTGACAGGGAATCCCCCCATTGGGAAACAGTCCAAAGGGCTCCAAAATTGCACGATCACAAGATCTCTGTCAGCCTGCATCACTGTGTCATGAGATCCAGCCTAGTTTTGTGGTAAGGCCAGATATTTAAGAAAAAACAAACAAACAAACACTGTTCCTATCTGAAACCTATATTATTATTATTATGAACATGATTTATAGGGAAAGATTAATTGGGTTGCCACTTGCCAGCCATATTTGCTTAACAAATTGGAAATTTGGTACTGCTACAAGTATAATTTTCTTTAGGTATAGATTGTTTTGAAGCAATGCGGAAGGCATTTCTAGGTCTTTTCTAGTGAAGGTCAGAAGAGCATGGTACCTACTGAGAGAATGACACCCAAACAACTATTTTTTTCGAACTTTTTTTTTCAAACTAAATAATGAAATGATGATCTGTTGTCAACCTACAAAAGTCTTTTTTTTTTTTTTCTTTCTTCTTCTTTGAATATGACTTTGAAATATTGGCAGAAGTGGTTTTTGCACTTATAATCCAACTTTAAAGGATAGTTAATCAATTATGTTGATTACTAAATTGCACTACTTAGATGAAAACGTTACAACTGTATTGCAAATGACTTAAATTAGTTTATGCAATTGAGCATGTTGTTTAGTAATTAATACATAATTTTTGCTTTATTAAATTAGTTTTTGCACCTGAACATTTGATTCAGTATTTGATACATAATTTTTATTTTTTTAATAGGATTCTAATAATCTCTTTTTCAAATGGAAAACTTTAAATTGGGTTTTGAAAATTGTTCTTAAGAAAAAAAATAAAAAACACGAATGTGTGAATGCGGTTGAGAGAGAGTGTCAAACGAATTTAGCTAATGAAATTATTTTAGCTTATAATAATTGTATTAAAAATTGAATCGTGGCGCTATTATCAATGATGAAAATATCCAACTTGGAAGGGAAAAAAAAATCAATCCCAATTTGGATGGCTTAACAACTAAGCTTGTCTCAAGGCAAAAAAGGAGCTAAACCAATGAAAATTAAAGTGAATAGTGGAATACTTTATTGCATGCAAAAGAACCAACTCCTTTTGAAACAACTCTTGAACTGAACCAGAAGGCCATCAGCCATCACCTTTTGAATTGTGAGGGTGGAAGATTAGTATGGTTGATGTTTACAACTAAACTAATTGATCTTTTAGCTCTTCATATTTCAACGAAATTATTTTATAGAATTCCATTTTCCTCGATATTGTAAAAGATGTTTGAAACCTGAAGTTCCAGCCCTTGAATCACGTTTTCAAAAACCCTTATCCATGATCCAATCGTTGAAGCTTTTGTGCTTCATGCTTGACTTGGCAAGCACTAAAGAGTTCTTGCCTTGGTCATATTGTTCAAAAATATATTTTTAACAGACTCGAGAGATTGACAAATGCTTGATGATAATGTTTGGAACAAATCATAGAAAATGGCGAAAAATATAGTCTAAAAAGTTTGCTTTGGTTTCACAAAACCAACAAATTATTTGCCACAATAACAATGCCCATTATCCTGTTTGAAATAGTTGACAATGACAAGCCGAAGAAACACATACTGGAATGCAATTTACTTGAATTAAAATTTCATGGATGGGGCTGGGTTCTTCTCTCGAGAAGTTCTGGAAAGCAGACGAACTGATGTATTGGAATACACAGTCACACTGAAACTGAGACGATGAGTGAAACCTGCATATGCCATCTTTGTTTCCTGCATCAGGACCAATATGTGTCAGATTGATTCCCAATGATCTACAAAGAGAAATAAGCAACAAGAACTACCCTTTAAATGACCCACCACCCCACATTTCGTCTATTTATGTTTTGCAAATTTCAAGTTCAAGAAAGGGATCGAGAGAGGGATCATCAGGTGAATTGCCATGACTGTTGATTTCCTGGTGTGAGAGACACGGAAAAGCAGCACTAGGATTGAGATAAAGGTAGTGGAAGAGATATATCAAGTAGGCATTCATATTTTCAAGATTGGCCAAAACAAAGGTTTTAGGTTTTAGGAGCGTATATAATTGGAAAATGGTAAACTTCACCAATGATTTTCCATTCATGCCAGCTTCTTTTTGACAAAATCATTAAGCTGATTCTGTTTTTTGAGAAATCATTAAGGTGATTTACGATGTAATGCTATGTCATCTGACGCTAACGATAAAATGAAAACTTAATTTAGAATACAACAAATAAGAACCATACACCATTACATGAATGTGAAATTCTCAAAGCAAAATAGATAGAAGGTCCTTGATTATTCCAAGGAATAACAACTTAGCTATATAAAACTTCCACATCATATATGGACTATGGTAAACAATCAAAACCATTTGATAACTCTATTTTCCCATAGTTGAGACCCTACAGACCTCTTTGACTTAATGGATGCCTCCAGATTGCAGAAATAAACATTCCAGCATCAAATAACTGTCTTGACTCTGTATGAAAATATTATTCTTGCAATCTGATGCCAATGGATTCCGACACACCAAACACAATTATCAACTTGAAACTTAGAAATAAATCTTTGCTCTTACCATACTGGTAAAATGTAAATATTGTCAAAGACACTCAAGCAGTATGGCTATGGAAACAAGTAACAAAGTACATGAAAAAAGGGTGGCAGCCAATAGTGGTAAGCAATAGCTTTCACTGAGATTATGAAGTCAAGCATAAGGGGACCTAATTTTTGACAGAAGATCGGTAAAATAAAAACTCAAAAAGCTACCTGAACTTTCTGATGCACTAACTCAGGCAAAACGCCCAATTACTTCTCCAATAGATTTCAAATCAAAGATTTCAATCCAGTAACCATCAGGATCCTTAATGAATGCAAACCCTTTCATCTTCCCTGCAAATAAGATTGATAGGTTAGGCATGAAGAAAAGCATTTTTAAAAGGTAATAAACTAAAAGCAAATATTTTGGAGGCTGTCTTTTTTCATTCATGCCTCGTAAGTACAAGTTAATATTGCTCACAATAGAACCAGATAATGCTGACAAGTCCTTTTACTTAATCAAACCAAAAACAAGTTTGCTACTAATTCAGGAATCTGATTAAAGTAACATTGAATATATGAATGCACATGAGGACACATATTCCTATTATTTTGGTAGCAGTAGCACTTCTAGAGGGACTTCTGCTGCCCTAGAAATCAAAATGTGGAAAAGAGTAGTAATACTTTAG